TGGGGGGGCGGGGGCTCTAATAGCAAAAGCAGTTCACTCCTTTGTTAAAGTCAACAATCCGCTGTTTAACCTTCCTCTTGAGGGTCAAAAGGTTATCCGACACTTACTCTTCGCATGTCAGCAGAAGGGACATTTCATGTCCTTTCAATAAAGCCATAAATGCTAGGTCACCGCTGAAACAAAAAAGTTTTCAATCGCTCCGTCAGACCATGTCCTCAAAAATGTCTGAAATCTGCCCTTTGCCCATTGACTTTGACCTGTGACCTCCAATTTCGGTACAGTGATGGCTTTCCTACCATGATGCTATAGGTACCGAAGTGTGACGTCACGTTGGCAAGACAACGTACGGCTGGTTCTACACAAGCCACTGGCTCCATAGTGTAGCCATAGCGTGAAAATGTTGTGCGTACGTAAAACACGAGTGTGCGCTGCAGACAGCGGTAAAGCATCGGTAGCAAGTCGATCTTACAATATTTAATGAATTCAAAAAAAAAGTTAAGAAAAAAAATTAATTTTTTTGTTAAATTTATTTTTTCCCCCGTTGCTTTTCACTTCCATCCTTTGGAAATCTATAAAAACTGCAATAATAACTCTCAGAATGATGGTTACAATCGGGTACAAAACACGACACCGCAGTTAATGTTACCAGAGCATATGATTGTGTAGAACCAGCAGGCTCGTTGTCATGCCACCGTGACGTCATCACTTCGGTACTCTATACACCGACTATCACGAGCCTAGGTCGAGCCGTTTAGATTTGTGCCGCAATTCTGCATTTCCTCCCTATACTTAAGTTAAGGAGTGAATGTTCCCCTTTTTTACACTCTGACCTTTGACCTTTGACCTTTGACCTCCAGCTTCGACATCCCAACTCGTTTGACGATCCCCCAACGACCCGAATATCGTGACCATACGTCGAGCGGTTAAGATTTGTGGCCAACTGTTGACACGGACGGACGACGACGGACGGACGGACGGACGGACGGACGGACGGACGGAGGACGACGGACGATCAAGGCGATTCTACAAGCTGCATCCTGACTATGTACGATGAGCTTAATAAATACTGGATATTTATCTAGCAATCCTCATCGCTATTCATACTCTCTAATGTATTATTACAGAAATGGAACGTGACATACATCTACTGTACAATGGCTGTAACTCGTTCCAGAGAATGACATTATTTTACTGAAACTCAGACGGTTAATTTGGACGGGTTCCCCATATACGATTTTTTTTTCAAAATCCCCAAGTCTTATCATGCTCACGAAGTTAAATCGTTGTTTAATCAAAATTATAATAGACCTATTGAGAGTTGGAGTGTTGAATCTTCACGGGATTGAATGGGCAAATTCTATTTCATCTCGCTTTTTGTGGGGGATAGGGTTGCTGAGAACCGACGCGGAAGTATATTCCTGATTTTGTATAAGGGGTGAAAAAATGCACTTTTTGCTTCAAATGGCGGTGTTTTTCTCATATTTTTGTTGGCAGTTTTTAACGTTCTCAGTAAAATATCGTTTCATCAAAATTCAAAGGAGATGCATTCCAGTGCTGTAGTTGTCAAAACGGGCGTGTGTAGCAGGCGGGGACGCGTCGCCCCTCCTACGAATTTTCAGGCAAAGCGTACATTTTAGCCCGAAGTAAGCTCTCTGCACTGGTAACCCAGTGAGGACATTACAAGCACAGATTTGGCTATAAGTTATTTTAGTCTGCGTGTCCCAGGTAAAAGTACTCAACTCAATCAGTGATGTTATTGTATGAAAGATTGTTTAATAGAGCTGCCTCATAGTGCGGAAATTGCATCAAAGGCAGCGTGTTACTTTCAAAAATTCCGGGCGACCCCCCGCCCCTAAACAGGAGGGGACACGCCGCTGAAGGAGCGAAAAATCCTGAATATTCTATGATAGAGATGTCGCAAAGTTGAGGTGCTTTTAGCATGGCAACTTTTCAACACATCTCCACCACAAATGGGAGGTGTGACACCCCCCGCACTTCGTGCCCGTTGAGGCTCGCATGATTCGCCACCTCTAGAATTTGCCTTCTGGATTCCGCGCAGTGGTTGTGTGTGTGTGGGGAGGGTTGCGTGTTACTTAAACCTTCCGGGATACAAAAAAAAAATTACCTAGACATTCACAAAATTGCACTTACAATCATCATTTTCTTCAAGTTCCTCAAAAACGGCATCTTGGAAGGTTCTACAAATTGCTAAATCAAGAGCTTCCGGGGCCTCCGCAGCCCTGGACCTCGCGCAACGGGCTCTGCCCTGCACCTTTGACAGGGCACTTAGGGCGCGCGCACCTCGGACCCCCACACCCACTTCAAGGGCTTCGCCAACGCGTGCCGGGGGTGTGCGCTACCTCTGCGCACACTCGTTCATATACCATTGTCATGGTGAAGTAACAAGCGAAATCATCCCCCCCCCCACCAACTCGACGGACCTGTCTACGCCACTGCATGACACTAACACTAGATGGACGTCTCATATATACTATAGGGCCATTCTACTATTAAATGAAAGTGTCATGAACTATACGCTCAGCATGGTGTCGATAGAAGAGGCAAGATTGGATAAAATTTTAAAATTTGGTAAGTGTTGCTATTTACGATGGACCGAAATTCATGGCAAATGTCCTTATTCACCTGTTTTATACTAATACGAAATTTCACTGTTTGTTTCAGCGGCTTAATTTTTGATGGCGAAAATTAAATTTTTTCAATCTGAGAGTCCTGAAATCTGCGGCGAGAGATCGCGCTATCGTCTAAAATATTTTAAAACGGTCCTTCGGTTATCGCGCAAATAAAAGCCAATAATATCCAGTCAGAATTACTGTAACGAAGAATCTAAAACACAATATTACACTAGTATGATTAGGCTAGGATAGGTAGGATAGGTAGGTAGGTATGTAGGTAGGTAGTGAGTAGGTAGCGTAGGTAGGTAGGTAGGTACGGTAAGCGTACGGTAGCGGGCGTAAAGCTAGGTAGGTAGGTAGGTAGGTTAGCGTAGGCTAGGTAGGTAGGTAGGTAGGTAGGTTAGGTAGGTAGGATAGGTAGGCCGGTAGGTAGTAGGTAGGTAGGTAGGTAGCTAGGTAGGTAGGTAAGTAAATACGTAGGTAGGTTACAGTAGGTAGTGTAGGTAGGTAGGTAGGTAGGTAAATTTAACACAAGCTGCCGCGGTAGCGACAGCGCCTCATACTAACGTCTACTGCGGTGACTCTGTGGTTGAGTGCGATGGGATTCTTACTAACCCTGGTTAGTCCCAAATGTGTTCACATACTGTAAAGTATGGTCGCAATGTCACAGAATAGTAGTTGAGTTATTGCGAAATGTAGCGACTGTGGTTGGCATAATGTGTTTGGTCGGCGGTAGCGTGTTATGATGTAGTAATGGATGATGGAGGTGCGAAACGGTTGAGAGGGGAGTGTACATGTGCGCGCAGCAGGTGCTGGTTGTCCGGCGCGTGCGACGTGCCTTTGTTATCTAGAAATGTATAAAGGAGAAAGGTTCTTGGTTGTGGGAGGTCGCACGTCGAGTGCGGCGAGGCAACGCGTCTGCGTGCTCTGTGCGAGCGTATGTGCGTTTTGAAAAACAATACACGCCGAAACAGTGGAAGGCACAGGGATCTATCAGGAAGCCTTCTCAAAGAAATGTTCGTTGGGATCGTTATGAAAGTTGCCACGCAGATGGCGCGTCAGCGTTTAAGTGTCTTAAGGTTAAAGATGGAAGCTCCCATCGTACGTTGTAGCAACAACTATTTGCAAGACAGAATAGGTAAGCACTCATCCAGTTTACCTACGCAAGCCTACAGGCTGAAATAAGAGCTGCCACCTGTAACTAATTAACGCAGCAAAAACTACACAGTAATATCACCACCACATGCACTGGCAGTGGCCACTGGCAGTGGCCACTGGCAGTGCCCATACCGTTACATGTACACACACTGACAGTACAGAATGCCATAGAAATTATACGATTTGGAGCATAAACCTTCTCTAACCAAATTTAGCTTTAGAAATTTCACTGTGACATTGTAGCCTCATACATCCAGGCATGTAGAGATTCTACTCTCAAATTCTTTCTAACAGACAGTAAACAAATCCATGTTTAACCCTCCTCTTGAGGGTCAAAGGTATCCGACACTTACTCTTCGCATATCAGCAGAAAGTACATTTCATGGTCCTAATGAGCCATAAAAATGCTATGTCACCACTGAAACAAAAAAGTTTTTCAATCGCTCCGGTCAGACCATGTCCTCAGAAAATGTCTAAAATCTGCCCTGTGCCCATTGACCTTTGACCTGTGACCTCCAATTGTTGGCACAGTGATGGCTTCCTACCGATGATGCTATACACGATATCACGAGCCTAGGTCGAGCCGTTTAGATTTGTGCCGCAATTCTGCATTTCCTCCCTATACCTTAGGTTAAGGAGGGAATGTTCCCCTTCTTTTACACCTCTTGACTTTGACCTTTGACCCCCAGCTTCGACATCCGCAAACTCGTTTTCAGATTACGCCCCCACGTTCCGACTTCGAATCCGTACGTCGAGCCTTTAGATTTGTGCCCAACTGTTGACGGACGCACGGACGGAGCGACGGACGCACGCTCATATGCGATTCTACAAGCTGCCTCTGACTATGTCAGATGAGCTAAAAATCGGAATGAATCTAGATGGCCATTTTCATTTTTCCAAAAAGTGCGCGTGCTCGAAAGTAGTCGACTGGCGTGCTCCCAAAATAAGACGTGCAAATCTTCTCCATAAGAGTAACAACTGTATGCAATTTGAAACGTGGGTCAAACGGTTCTTGAGTTATCGTTGACCGTAGGCAGACAGTAAAATTGCCAAAATCTACCTAATTTGCATATTTAAAAAAAATATCAAAACCCGTGTGATATCTTTGGAGCCAGTCCTTATTCATTCACATACCAAAAATGAGCATAATCCATTGAACCTGAACTGACTTAATTGCCATTTCCATTTTTGCCAAAAAGTGCGACATGGCTCGAAAGTAGGTCGACCTGCGTGCCTTCAAAATAGGACGTTCAACCCTCTCCCATAGGAGTAACAACGGTTCTTGCAGCTTATCGCTGACCGTAAGCTAAATGTTGACGGACGGCGGACGGACGGACGTACGACGGACAACGCCCCATGGCAATAGCTCATCTTGACGATGTCAGGTGAGCTAAAATCGATTTGCCATAACTCACCAAAAACATTCAATCATGTGTAGGAAAATTGTGCACCATGAGACAATATATTAGTATGCCCTTATATATTGATATTATTATGAGAATAAGAAATAATTATATAGTTATTATAATTTTAACTAAATAATGAATTGATATATCTACATATAACTCTTCACACGCAGGCCTTTATATATTTAAGGCAGGATTATTTGTCACGTGATGAGATGATGTTCGCTGATTGGTGCACGAGGATTTTTATCATTGCAAGTCGATGTCTACCGCGCACACATGCGATTTCGGAGCGATGGAAGGCGACGAGTTGCCTGAAAATCAAATCAGTTTGATTTTTGCCAACTCGTTGCAAGCGACCAGAATCACTACGATTGTTGGCAGTTGCACGTTCCCGCAGACGTAGCGATTTCACAGCAATTTCGACTGCGATTCTAGAATCGCTGCGAGTTGCATGAAAAAGTCGCAAGTCTGCGCTAGGCTTTACACGCGGTAATCTCATTTTTAACACTGTCGGCTGCTAGCACCAATAATAAACTAAAACAAACGTTTTCTATAATTTCTTTCATAAACATATTTTTAATGCCTTCATTCTCACATTCTGTGTAAACCTTCCCGGTCTTGCCACATTTAGAATCAGCTGAAGTCATGAACAGTCCATGCCATGCTTTAAAAAGCATCAATCTACGAAACCTCGTACATTCCTGACGTCGATTTCAATATTATTCACATACAGAAATATAATTCTAACGATGCTTTCACAATAAAAGACAAAAAACATCTAGGAGAAGAATACCTAAACGTAAAGCCTCCCAAAAAATGTAATACCACAATATACTCCAATAATGACATATTGCGTCCGCATATTCTGATATTATGCTTATATTGTATCAATAGCACGTAGTAATGCTAAATAACTATATTAAACCATTTAAACATAACAAACTGTATACCGTATATATTATATTGGTGTATTGCTTATATATATATATATATATATATTATATATATATATATTATATATATATATATTATTATTATATATATATAATACGACATATCGGTGTGTTTACTGCAGGCCGCCTACAAGCACGCACGTACGCACACACTGACACTGACGTCATCTACGCAACCTACACACTAATACGAATGCACGCGCGTACGCACGTAGGAACTCAGCTACTTCTGGCCCCTGCCTAAACGGTGTGTATACATACATATATATAGTAGATATCGTATGGATTAGGTCGTCACATATTCTGTATGCAAGCTGTTCTAAACGATAAACCTATGGTGGGTTAGCCCTGACAGTTATCGACATTATTTACTGAGAACCATGTGAATCAAGAGTACATAATAGATTATCTCTATTAGACATCTCTATTATGTACTCTTGATGTGAATATATCAACTTTGCATGCATGATTGACACATATACAGGATAATCAAAGCAAATAACAAAGGAAGGGTTTTCTACTTTACGTGTAATTCGAATTTCATCTAACTGATGCCATTAGATGCGCTCGTGTCATTACTCTCTCAAGATAGAAGCTGTTAAACAACCATGTATGATCGCGTGGGGGTAATATAATCACAAATTGACTCGTCGCTACATAATTCAAAGGCATCCGCGTATCGTCAAGGCGTAATAGTTTCGAAGAAAAAATCGCTTTTATTCATAATTTTTTACTTTTTATTTAACTATTTTTTTTAAAGAATTATTTAAATTTTGACGGTTTTATTCACAAACAGTCACTGCCATATATGCACCCGGCAGTTAGATGCGATATGATATGACTACTAGGCACTTAGGATATGACTACTAGGCACTTAGGATATGACTACTAGGCACTTAAAAAAAAAAAAACCCTAACCCTAACCCTAACCTAACCTAAACCCTAAACCTAACCTAAACCCTAACCCTAACAACAACAAAAATTAAATTAAATTAAAGTGCCTAGTAGTCATATCATATCGCATCTAACTGCCGGTTGCGCCATATATATAGTATATGCAGTACGTGTCGTGTAAACGATGGCATAAAATATGCGCTCGAGTAAACCATTGAAGTCATACGTTTGCAACTTTTGCCAAACTGGCATAGAAAGTTTTAATGCTCCAGCTTAGTCTAGCACCACTACATAGACGCATGTTTTTTCTTTCAGCCATCGGTATCGGCATGCTTACTATAACGGCTTTCGGCGCAACCAACGAATACTTCTCAAAGAGGGTTGCCTTGGCAACGGGCATCGTGAGCGCCGGAGCCGGTCTGGGCTTTCTCGTGCTACCACTACTCGGCAAGTGGCTCATAGACGCGTATGGCTACCAGGGGGCGATGCTGATCAATGGTGCAATCGTGCTGAACACTTTACCTTGCATGGTACTCTATCGACCTCTGCATCCACACAAACCGCACAAGGGGAGCGAGAAGGCAATAGATCCTGCTATTTCAGTCACTGCCAGTACCAATGAACTGCTGAAGTACGGCGAGTTAGAATCGAGTTACGTAACCGGCAGAGACTCGGTCGCCCAAGATGGCCGCTCGCTAAACATTCAGCAGGGAAACTCAGCTGCAGACTGCAGCGAGGTGGGCAGACCTGACGAGGATCGCAGTAGCGTCACCACGACGCAGGACCCCGGGCTAGAAGGCAACTCCCCAAAAGCTACTCCGGTCACCCACAAGAAGAAGGGTTTCGCGTGGGAGATCTTCAAGGACGCTCGGCTGTGGGTTCTGTGCGCGGCAGCGGCCCTCGCCGACGCCGCCGTCCTCACGGCGCCCATCTACCTTCCGCTGCTCTCCCTGGAGGTCGGCGGCGACGACATCAACGAAGCCATCGGCGTTTCTCTCAGCAGCATCATGGGCACCGTCACGCTTATCCTACTCAGCGGCGTCTGGGACGTGGGTGTATTCAGCCGACCACTGGCGCGTCAGATCGGCTACGTCACGTTGGGCATCGCAGCCAGCGTGGCAACGATAGTCACTGGACTTCTTCACAACTACGCTGCTCTCATGGCCTGGGTAATCGTCGTCGTGCCGACACTGGGCGGGGCATCGCTGTCTCCCTTTTATATGGTCGTGCGCGACATTGCGACGCCAGCAAGCTACGCCGACGCCCTCTCAACTGTCTACCTCACTGCAGCACCCTTCACACTGCTCGGCTCACTGGCGTTTGGTAAGCACTCGGTGAGCAAATCATCAGACAACAGAATCAATCGCGCGAGACAATCGTAATGTAGGTTTCGCCGAGAAAATGCTCTATTCGGCTGCGATGTACATTTTCGTATATTTGTTTCCGTGGCAAAAACGCATTTTAGTGATTTACTGCTGACAGCTTAGACTGAACGCTACTATGTACAATTAGATGTGGTCGGTCATCAGGAATGGATACAGGAACAAGTACTGATAGAATGACAGTGAACTAGTGTCTTCAATCACGTTCACACATATCCCCAGCACAGTTCAACCAGTATAAGCTATAATGCGTGACAGTCATTGCTTCCCAGATGGGAGTGTGGTTATTTCATTCCTAGATATCCTATATACACTAGACAGTTAGCGCATTGTTGGTCCCGCGTTGACGACTGGCTCTCAGTGCCTCCGTAGCGGTGTAGGAGGAAAACCTGCCACCAGATGGCGACACATACTAAAACGCGAGTGGGCAAGTCAACCAGATATTTACCACACATACACGCACGCGCGTATGCACCCACACAGACAGACACACACATAAGTACACCGCACACACATATGTATACACAAATAAAAAATATATAAGAAATATACATAGATATATACACGGTGTATAGAGTAGATATTTATGAACTCGACAACGTATACAGGACTTCACCGACGTGCTGCGTATTTCAGGGCTGGTCTACAGCAGCAGTGGCAGCGCCAGCACCACACCTACGTGGCACTGGGACTGTGTTCAGTGTGTTCCGGAGCACTGGCGCTCGTCATACCGTTACTGACGATCTTCTACTACCCGCCCAAGGTCAACGACGTCACTGAGGAGCTTGACTATAACCCAGCCGATAATATCATAGCTATCAGGTTGTAGTAAACCGTGAACAAGTGAGATTCCGATTCACTCCTGATATACAAGTGAAACACCCCCGATAGTGCCTCCCCCTGCTGCCATAGTTGGCATGGAAGTATTGATTGCCATTTCTCCAACCATGAACAACGCTGGTGGCTCCATGAGGCTAGATCTGTCACCCTAACCCCGATGGGAATAATAAATGAACTTAACTAAGCGAGTTGAGTCCACTTACGTATAATACCTGCAGAATAACGGGTCCGCTGTTGGGTATCGACACGCATATTACCGCATGTTGGCTTCGTTCTGGGTGAAAGCAATGCAGTTACACAGTGGCGCCTGATATTATAGGGATATAGTGAGATATATCAAAGCAATTATTTCCGAAATGAAGTTCTACGGTAAATTGCAGAATGCACAACAGGAAGTTCAACCCGATAATAGTATATATAAATCTCAGCATCAATGCACAGTTTGCTATCAGTTGTGTGCTATGCACAGAATTCAGTCATTGTGAATTATCTGTTTGATGGAATGTGTGCGATGGAAAAGAAATGATGTAATTTAACCACCTTTAATTTTGTGTTACTAATTTTTCAATCGAAAAGTTCAACTCTGAAAGTGTATGACTTTCACATCCAACAGACTTACATGTTTTAGTAGCCTCGGTATTTGTGAAATTTCATGAGAAAAAACAAATCACCACTTTAAGCAGAAAAGATCACCAATTTTAAGCAGAAAAGATCATCGTACACCTAACCATCAGTAATAGTGTTCAGAAAACGTACATTTGCAAATTGTTAACAATTACCAATTACATTATGCCTAACCCATTTGTTAGGGCTATCATTACATTGCAAATACTAAAATTTTCAATAATTTCCCCAAAAAATCGTACATCCATTAAAGGAAATAGTTTAGCACCCTAATAATATTTTGTATAACATAATGAATGACTAAAATGAAACCAAGATTTTATTCAGAAAGCAAAGGTTAAACCAAGAACAAAACCAATATGATACGTATTTGAACCATGGCGGAGACATAAGAAGTAAGGTTGAAACGACAGGCACGGCCCAGTAATAATGGCTCTCGAGCGGGAACAGCAGATGGCATTTGGAATCTACGTGGTCAGCATGACATAACAACCTGAGGGCTGACAGGTTTTCTACGGCATCCATAGAGGGGCTAAACATGGCAATGTCGCCAATGTTGGGAAAAACGACGTAATCCTCGAATATTTCACTATAGCTCATGACGTCATAAGAATATGCCGACATCTGTAGCGTAATAGCACAAACAACCTTTTGTTATTGCTCAAGCTTGCTCATCAAGCTTTGATATTGACTTTTAAGCTTTATTATACGTAATATACGTAATACGTATTATTAATACGTAATATTACGTAATATAACGTAATATTACGTATATTATATATTACGTATAATATATTACGTAATATTACGTATATACGTATTAATACGTAATATTAATACGTAATACGTATTATACGTAATGGGGAATACTCATATGGGGTGCTGGTTCCTTCGGCCACCAGAAAAAAACAAAAACAATGATCAGTGACGTTGACTATGTGTCTGCATATGCTAATAGCAAGTAGCCGTTCAGCATTAGAACGTCACGTGCTCTTGTCAATCTAAAATTTAATCTCACTGCACAGATTAATATACAGAAGGTATTGATTGGAACGACGATTGCTGCCCCTACGTACGAATGCAAACAAATTAGATTAGAAGATTATTTGTACACGAACGCAGGCAAGACAAGTAGTAATGACATTTTTTTTATTTATATACGACAGACCTACACTGTGGTTTTTGCATTTTTGATAGCAACAACCGACTTCGAATTGAGTGCTATGCACATGGACTAAGGTAACAGGCAACAACACATCC